TCCGGGCTGGGGATTCGAACCCGCCACCTTAGGTGTACGTGGCTGGCGCCTTAGCCGGTTGAGCTATAGGCACCGAGCCCAGGCACACATTGTAAGATTCTGAGGGATGGGACCTCATCGTGTGAAATTTGAGAGGGACACAATTCAGCCTATAACACCCTGTCGGGCATCTTTACATGGGCTTAGCAGCCATTTTTACATCTTTCCTGCAAAAGTGTGCGTTAAAATCCTTGGCCCATTTGTTAACTGGGTGATCTTTGTATTGTTGAGTTGTAAGAGGTCTTTATTACTCAGAATGTAAATCCTGAAACAAATAATACTTGCAAATATTTTAACCCATTCTGTGAATTTTCTTTCCACTTTCTTGATGGTGTCCTTGAAGCACCTGAATTTTAAATTTTGATAAAAATATAGTTTATCTATTTTTTCTGTTGTTGCTGTTCTTTGGTATCGCATTTAAGCAATAATTACCTAATGTAAAGTTATAGTGCCTTTTTCTTCTATGTTTGATTTTAAGAGTTTTGTAATTTTAACTCTTAGGTTTGTGTCTTGCATTCATTTTTAATTGATTTTTGCATAGGGAGTAAAATATGTGTCCAAAAACACTCTTTTGCATATGAATATCCAGTTGTCTTGTACCCTTTGTCGAAAGGACTAATTTTTTTCCCCATCAAATGGCACTGGCACTCTTGTTAAGGTCAATTGATGATATGATTTTATTTCTGGACTCCTAATACCATTTCACTGATCTATATCTATCACTATGCCAGCACCAAATTGCCTTGATTACTGTAGCATTGTAATAAGTTTTAAAATCGGGAAGTACACATCTTTCAAATTTGTTCTTCTTTTTCAAGACTCTCCTGTATCACTTTGCATTTTGTGTATGAATTTAAGGATAAACTGTCAATTTCTGCAAAAGAAGGAGTTGCAGTGTTTGTGGAGATTGCATTAAAGCTATCAATCAGTTTGGGAAATACTGTTATCTTAAAAATATTGAGTCTTCTGATCCACGAACAGAGAATGCTTTATATTTATTCAGATCTCCTTTAATTTTTAGTGAGGTGTTGTAGTTTTCAGAGAGGTTGTAGTTCAAGCTAACTTTGAAATTGTCTGGTTGTATTTATTCCCAAGTATACTAATTGTTTTAATGCTATCATAAATGAGATTTTTTTTTAAAAACGTCAATTTCATATTTTACATTGCTGGTATATAGAAATACAATTATCTTCTTGTATGTTGATCTTGTATCCTGAAACCTTGCTGACTGTGTTTATTAGTTCTAATAGTTTCCTTTTTGTGGACTTCTTAGAATTTTCTATATATGGTATCGCGTCTGGGAAAGGGCTAAGCTTGCTTCTTCTTTTCAGATCTGGATGCCTTTTATTTCTCTTTCTTGCCTGATTTCCCCGGCTGGGTCTGTAGTACAATGTTGAATAGAAGTGGTGAAAGCAGATTCCCTTGTACTGTACTTGACCTTAGGGGGAAGTATCTCCTCTTTCACCATTAAGTCTGATGTTAGCTGTGGGTTTTTAATAAATGACTTTTATGAAGTTTAGGAAATTCCCTTCTATTCCTATTTTGTTCAGTGTCATTTTTAATTATTATTATGAAAGAGTGTTGGATTTTATCAAATGATTTTTCTGAGATGATTGTGTGTTTTTTTTCATTTGTTCTATTATTAAATAATACAGCATATTACATTGATTTGCATATGTCAAACTAACCTTGCATTCCTGAGATAAAGCCCACTTGATCATGGCATGTAATTATTTTTGTTACTAAATTATTTTTTAACTTTTTAATTATAAATGGACACATTTAGTTGTATGTATTTATTGAACACAAAGAGATGCTGTGATTTACAAATAGTGTATAATAATTAAATCAAGCTAGTTACTTGTTGCTGAATCTTGTTTGCTAGTGTTTACAGGGATTTTTGTGTCTATATTCATAAGGGACATCATCTTTGGTTTTCTTTCTTGAGATGTCTTTATCTGGCTTGGAATCTGGGTAGTACTGAACTCATAGAGTGGGTTGGGATGTGTTCCCTCCTATACTATATTTTGGAAGAGTTTACGAAGGGTTGATGTTAATGGTTCTTTAAACATTTGGTAGAATTCACCAGTGAAGTCATCCAGGCCTGGGCTTTCTTTTAGGGTGAGATTTTGATTACTATTTTACTCTCTTCTCTTGTTATAGGTCTATTTAAATTTTGGTCTTGAATCGGTTTCGGTAGTTTATGTCTTTCTAGGAATTTGTTCATTTTTATCTAGGTTATAGAATTTGCTATGTATAATTGTACATAATATCCCCTAATAATTTTTCTGTCTAGAAGCCAGGCAGTGATGTCTCCTATTTAATTTGTGATTTTATTAGTTTAAGTCTGCTTTTTATCCTCGGCCTAGCTAAAGGTGTGTCAGTTTTGTGGATCTTTTCAAGAACAAACTTTTGGTGTTGTTGGCTGTCTCTTTTGTTCTTCTATTCTCTATTTTATTTATTCCTACTATGGTCTTTATTCTTTCCTTTTTTCTGCCTGCCTTGGGTTTACTTTGCTGTTATTTTTCTAATTACTTAGGGGTAGAGATAGGTTATTGATTTGAGATTTTTTTTCTTTTCCCATATCTACAAATTCCTCTCTCTCTCTCTCTGTCTCACTTTGTTGTCCTCAGTAGAGTACTGTGGCGTCACAGCTCACAGCAACCTTCAGCTCTTGGGCTTAGGCAATACTCTCGCCTCAGCCTTCCGAGTAGCTGGGACTACAGGTGCCCACCATAACGCTAAGCTATTTTTTTGTTGCAGTTTGGACAGGGCTGGGTTTGAACTCGCCACCCTTGGTATATGGGGCTGGCGCCCTACCCACTGAGCCACAGGTGCCACCCTGCAGATTCCTTTCTTAGCACTGCTTTTTTGCTTCTGTATCCCAGAAGTTTGGACATGTGTGTTTTTTATTTCATTTGCGATTTCTTCTTGAACCCATTTGTTTGTTTAGGAGTGTACGTTAACCTTCACATACTGGTTAATTTTCAGGTTTCCTGCTGCGACTGATCGTAGTTTCATTCCATTGTGAACAGAACAGGTACTATCTATGACTTTAATCTTTATTATGAATAATAATTTGCTGGTTTTAATTTTTTTAATTTCAAATTTTTAAGTTTACTAACACTTGCCTTGGGGCCTATACATGGTCTGTCCTAGGGAATGTTCCCTGTGCCCTTGGGAAGTATGTTATTGTGCTGTTGGATGGCGTTCTCTGGGTGTCTGTTAGGTATAAATGGACTACAGCATGGTTTAATCTTCTGTTTCCTTATTGATGTTTTTATCCATTTAATGAATCACTTCTCTTTTGCCTCTTTCAAGATTCTCTGCTTTGGGTGGCACCTGTGGCTCAAAAAGGTGGGGTGCTGGTCCCATATGCTGGAGGTGGCAGGTTCAAACCCAGCCCTGGCCAAAAATTGCAAAAAAAAAAAAAAAAAAGATTCTCTGCCTTTTAATAGTTTGACTATGGGTCTTTGATTTTTTATCCAACTTGGAGTTTGTTGAAATTCTTGAATTGGTAGGTTACTATTCATCATATATGAGTTTGGGGGGCATCATTTTTCTAAAAAAATTTTCTGCCCCATCTTCCCTTCTCCTGTAACTTCCGGCATGTATATATCGGTACACTTAATTCCAAGTTCACTAATTCTTTCTTTTCCAGTTCAAATCTGTCGTTGAGCCCCTCCAGTGAAATTTTCATTTCAGCTGTTTTACTTTTAACTGCAGAATTTCTATTTAACTGTGAGCTGTGACATCACAGCACTCTACCGAGGGCAATAAAGTGAGTCTCTGTCTCTAAAAAAAACAAAGACAAAAATAAAAAACACCTGATCTTAAACTTGGATCAACTACTTTGCCATCTGTGTGGACTGGGCGAGGTCATATCGATCCCACTGGGCTTCTGTTTCATCTGTGAAATAGAGGGCAATGGCCACCTCATAAAAGTGTTCTAGAGGCCAGATGAGACGATAGGTGTAGACCACGTGCAACATACTAGATGCTTCCTTTTTCTTTTTGAGACAGAGTATCACTCTGTTGCCCTGGTAGAGTGCCATGGAGTCATAGCTCACAGGAACCTCAAATTCCTGGGCTCAAAAGATCTTCTCGCCTCAGTTTTTCTATTTTTAGTAGAGACAGGGTCTTGCTCCTTCCCAGGCTGGTCTTGAACTCCTGAGCTCAAACAATCTACCTGCCTTGGCCCCCAGAGTGCCAGGGTTACAGGTGTGAGCCACCACACCCGGCCTTTACTAGATGTTTCCTAAGTGAAGTCTTTTCGATAAAAATGCTCTCCGAACTTTTTAAAAAATCCAATTATTCATATTTTGTTTTATCCTTCATGTTTTATCTCACAGAGATGTGGACTGCCACAAGATATGGGAAGCATTCAAAAACGCATTTCTTTCAAAGAATCCTTGCAACATTACGGAAGAGGACTACCAGCCGCTGATGAAGCTGGCATCTCAGACTGTACCTTGCAACAAGGTAACCTGGGAAAGGTATTATTTAAAATTGGGGATAAGTGCTAGAGGGCAGGGGTCATAGGACCACATTTGAATAGAGTGAGGGGAGAGGATAAACCCAGACATTGTAATGTGGGTGTGGTTGGGGTGGGGCCACTGGGAACCGTGATGGCATCCGTATTAGGACATTTGGGGGAGAGAGGTAAGAGATAGCGATGGAACATGGAAAAAGGAAAGGAGGCAAAACAAACCTAACGCCAAAACCAACTCAAACGAACAAAAATAAGCCAACCTCATACAATTCCAAAACTTCCCCTGACCTCTGATAATAGTAATAAGGATGATGACATCAATTTATACTTACATGATGACATCAATTTGTACTTGCATGATGACATCAATTTGTACTTATGTGATGACATCAGTTTGTACTTGAATGATGACATCAATTTGTACTTGCATGATGACATCAATTTGTATTTGCATGATGACATCAATTTGTACTTATGTGATGAAATCAATTTGTACTTGCATGATGACATCAATTTGTATTTGCATGGTGCCTTTTTTGTATACATAGAACTCCTAGTTCTTTTCTCCCTGGTCCTTCATAGCCATTTTTTGGAATGGGCATCTCAGGTGCCAGCATCCCCATTTCTCCAATGAGAAAATCAAGGCATGGTGAGTTTAGGTTACCAGTGATTGTCCGAGTTTGACAGACTTGAAAGTGACCAGTTGAAATATAAATGGCATAAGACGTGGAGCCAGAGAGGCCTGGGTTTAATTATATTGGAGAAGGTCTACCAGGGAGTACATCTTTTCTGAAGTCAGTGTTCAAGGCCACATAGTGTTTAAAGTGACAGATTGTCTTTGTGAAGGCCTTAAATCACCCATGAATAGCCTCTCACATTGTGGTTAGCGAGCTCAAGTTATTGTGCCTCTCCTTGGGATGCCAAGGACAAGGCCCCAGGAAGAGGTGCCAGGCTGACATTTGTCAAATAAAAGACTATGACAGACAGACGCTGTGGTACTAAGTTTACTGGTGTTATCTCATTCAACCTCCCTAGTATCCCATGAGGGTGTTATAGTCATCATCATTACCATTTCACAGGTGTGGAAAGGGAGGCTTATTGATGCTTTGGGCATTCAAGGTCAATAAGACCAAACAGCTAACAGTGGTGGTGCTGGGCTCAAGAGCCCATGCTTTAACTCACTGCCCTCCACTCCTCCCATCAAAAATGAATAGATTCATGGAACAGAATAGTATTCTGAAATTTGACCATCTGTATCCTTAACAGAGACCCTAAAAATACACCCAGTGTGTGTGTGTTTGATGGAGGTAGGGAAGATTTGGGGAAAGTGGAAAAGGTTATGTAGCTGTTTAAGAACTGAAGAGTGGCCGGGTCTGTGGCTCAGGCTTATAATCCTAGCACTCTGGGAGGCTGAGTTGGAAGGATTGTTAGATCTGAGGAGTTCGAGACCAGCCTGAGCAACAGCAAGACCCCATCTTTACTAAAGACAGAAAAACTAGCCAGGTGTTGTGGGAGCCTGCAGTTCCAGCTACTCCAGAGGTTGAGGCAAGAGGATCGCTTGAGCTCAAGAGTTTGAGGTTACTGTGAGCTATGACGATACTATAGCACTATAGCCAGGGCAACAGAGTGGGACTCTGTCTCAAAAAAAAAAAAAAGAAAGAAAGAAAGAAA